TACTCTCTCTCTCTCTCTCTCTCTCTCTCTCTCTCTCTCACATTTGTTTGTTTGAGGCTCTTCTAGTTTAAAACCTCGATTGGCAATGCTGACAACAGCTCATCTTGAAGAGAATGGTGTCTTGTTGTTGGAGTCAAATAATATGTTCAGGTAAATGATCCTTCACACTTTGTTTCTTTCTTTCCCTCATACGTACGCAAAAGATTAAATGCTGATGCTTAGACTAATACTCACCTCCATAACGACTAATCCTCTACAAAAACAAATGATATATATATATATATATCTGTTTCTTTCACAATGTCAATGCATCACATTAATTGGGGATATGACAAACTGTATTGTTTGATGGTGATTGATCTTGCAGGTGAAGTTTAGGGTTTCCACGGAGCCAATGCAAATTCTACGCAAGGTTTGGTAAATAGATAAGGTAGTAAGGATCGTCGTTTCAGAACCTTTCGATTTTTGCATCGCAAGAGTAGCCATCGATCTAACTTAAAGACGGGATAGATAAATATTTTAATTTTTATGATTATTTTTTATTTAATATAAAAAAACTCATCACGTTAAATCCCAAGTTTTCTTGGAATGAATCTAAGCAGTGGCCATCGTTGGTGGAGAGGAATCAGTAACCTCGTCTTCTCCAAATGTCAGTCCTGAGCTAAGGATGAGATTAATATCGGTAAGAGACGCATGATTGGATTGAGGTGGTCATGGTGTGGAGCACAATTGAGTTTGGCCAATTCTGATCTAACTCGATCTCTATCTTTTTCAAGAAAAAAACTATATTACTAAAATTTGGCAAACGAATACATCCTCTGTTTGTGAGATAGAAAGCGAGAAAGTAATATAAAGAAAAAAAGAAAGGTTAAGGTTCGTTCTAACCACAAGTCTTTATGGTTTATTCGTGTTTAAAATAATTTATATATTTTTAAAAATATAGTATATAAGTCTCTACCTTCAAGTCTGAGTTATCATATGTTAAAGTCTGCTTATATGGTATGTTGACTCATAATAAATTAATAATATAATGATACGTATAATTTAAGTTTAAAAAGGGTTATGGTCTATTTTAATCCATATGATTTTTGTCAAGGATCATTTAAGCCCCTATAGTTTACTCGTGTATAAAATAATCTTTACATTTTAAAAAATGTAGTATATAAACCCCTTTCGTTAGTTTGAGTTAATGGATGTTAGAGTCTGGTTACGTGGTATACTAATTCGTAATAAATTATTAATATAATAACAAGTATAATTTAAGTTTAAAAAGGGGTTAAGATTCATCTTATTGAGAAAAAGGAAAAAAAGGAAGCGGTAGGGGCTATAGTGGCGGACAAAAGTGGAGTGGTAGAGGTAGGAGAGGCTAGAGGTAGAAGTGAGGTAGAGTTGAACCATCACATCGTAGATGATGCGGGCGAGGGCGCAAGAGAGGACGAAGTGAGAGGTGGTGGGGACAAAGATGCTTAGGAGGAGGAAGATGGACTAGGAGACCATTGAGTGCATAACATTGGAGTGGTTGACGCACATCCCCCTTGAGGTAGGGCCGGAAGCTCTTGAGCTCGCCATCAGCGTCGGAGAGGTTGCATGCGTACGACGTCTTACAAGGCAATAGTAGCTCGGTGCTGCTGTTGATGGTCGCTTCCACAATGACGCCTCCTCCCGCCATTAATAATGGTCTTAATTTTTTAAAAACTTAAATTATATATGTCATTATATTAATGGTTTATTGTAAGTTAGCATGTTGCGTAAGCAAACTCTAATGTTTGTTAATTCAGACTTGACGGGAGATATTTATATGCTATGTTATTGAAAATATAGGGGTTATTTTAGACATGAATAAATTATAAGGGTTTAAGTTGTCCATGAGTAAAACCATAGGAGTTAAAATTGACCTTAACCTCTTTTTAAACTTAAATTTACGTGTCATTATATTAATAGTTTATTATAAGTTAATATGTCATATTAATAAACTTTAACATCTGTTAACTTAGACTTGACGGGAGGAGCTTATATGCTACGTTTTTGAAAATGTAAGAGTTATTTTAGACACAAATAAATCATAAGAGTTTAAGTGGTCTATGAGTAAAACCATAAGGGTTAAAATGGACCTTAATTTTTTTAAAAAAATTTAAATTATACGTATCATTATATTAATAGTTTATTATGAATTAACATGTCACATAAACAAATTTTAACATTTGTTAACTTAGACTTGATGGGAGAAGCTTATATGTTACGTTTTTAAAAATATAGGGGTTATTTTAGACACAAATAAATCATAAGGGCTTAAGTGATTCATGACCAAAATCACATGGGCTAAAATGGATCTTAACTTATATGTATAATTTTAAATTTTTCATGGAGCGTCAAGTTTTTGCATGATGTCATCCACTTCAATAATGATATTTTGAATTCCTCCCCTGTTTGACTCAAGTCTCATTATATGTATTACTTATCGAATTGTCTTGTAACGAAGATGTTACGAGGAAACCAGCTCCACCTGTTTGAGAATCTGCACAAATAAGTCTTACATGAGCATGAGCTTGAGCTTGAGCTTTGTACCACCGCGTGATGGGTTTTGGTCCACTCACCAAAATAATATTAATTAGGTTTCTTCAGATATGTTGAGAAGTTTATAATTGGTCACAAAAAGGCATATGCATGGATGGCTTTCAAAAGCCCATCACATTCTCCGCTATGCCAAATAGCAAAGAATAAAAGCTTTAATTCTAAGGTATACCAACCAAACTGTTATTGCAAAAGGGCAGTTCAAAGAAATGTGTTGTTCTCCTTCATCTTCTTCACTTCTACAAAAATAACAGTTCATTAAGGATTGATTCTTTTGTGAATTAGAAATCCAGCAAAAAAAGTAGAGTTTGGGTGTGGTAGGAATGTTCCGTAGGCTCATCCACCTTTATTGTTTTGGTATTGGACCCATAGAGGCACATTCCTACCCTTATTGTGATCTACCCTTCAAACAACTTCATCATCGCTAGGAGAGTTATGCAACTCTATCATCTCAATATAAGCAGTGGGAATAGATAGGACCACAAAAATATACCCCATTGTGATGAACATGTTAGATTATGTTGTCCTATTTAATTAAGTAAGATATATTATAGATATTATTAGATTTTGATTATGGTTATTGGCTAATAGAAAAGAAGTCCATATTAAAATAGGATTCTTTAGGAGATAACCTTGATGGAAGGAACTCTCCTAATAACTTATCCTAGACCCTCTGCTCTCGCCTATAAATAGACAGGACCTCTAGGGGCTAAAGATATCATTTGTGCGCATCTGATAGATAGTACCTCTAGGGGTAAGTGCGCATTTGAGTAACATCTCAGCAATTGAGATATTAAGGTTTTTCTCTCCATCTCTCTCTCCCTTAATCCCCTAATCCTGTGAAAAGATAGGAAGAGAGGAGAAGGATCTAGTTCTTTTTGCAGATCCTTGCAGATTGATATTTCAGATCCGACGATGTTTTTGCAGATCCTTGCAGATTGATATTTCAGATCCGACGATGGAGCGCTTATAGATCAGATAAGATTTATTTTTCTGAACAACAAGAAAAAGGTACGTATCGTAATGTAATATTGTTAGATCCAATTTATTTGATTTCAATCTTGGCATAAAAATTTTTCCGCATTATAGATAGCATGATTATAGATTTTATGCTAACAGAACCAACCGTTGCTGATAACACAGATGGTGATGATGATGATGTGGAGAACAAAGTTAAATTAAGGTCTTTTACTTAATTGCAAAATAGTCATCGTTCCGATAGAGATAAAGCCTATGAAAAGTTACTTTTCAGTCCTTAATATCTTTGTTTATTTTTTTATTGACCTCACACATGCAGAACAAAGTTACATTCATGCCCTCCAACGCTTTACTTATTTGCAATCAGTCATTGTTTCGATCGAGACAAAGCCTATGAAAAGTTACTTTTCAATCCTCAATATCTTTA